CGTGTGGCGAGAGACAAATTACTGGTATGTATTGTTTGATATTGTCTTTACTATTCGTTTGTCGTGTGGCGAGAGACAAATTACTGGTATGTATTGTTTGATATTGTCTTTACTATCCGTTTGTCGTGTGGCGAGAGACGAAATACTGGTATGTATTGTTTGATATTGTCTTTACTATTCGTTTGTCGTGTGGCGAGAGACAAATTACTGGTATGTACTGTTTGATATTTTCGTTACTGCCCACTTGTCGTGTGGCGAGAATCAAATTACTGGTATGTATTGTTTGATATTTTCGTTACTACCCGTTTGTCGTGTGGCGAGAGACAAATTACTGGTATGTATTGTTTGATATTTTCGTTACTATCCGTTTGTCGTGTGGCGAGAGACAAATTACTGGTATGTATTGTTTGATATTTTCGTTACTACCCGTTTGTCGTGTGGCGAGAGACAGATTACTAGTATGTATTGTTTGATATTTTCGTTACTACCCACTTGTCGTGTGGCGAGAGACAAATTACTGGTATGTATTGTTTGATATTTTCGTTACTACCCACTTGTCGTGTGGCGAGAGACAAATTACTGGTATGTATTGTTTGATATTTTCGTTACTATCCGTTTGTCGTGTGGCGAGAGACGAAATACTGGTATGTATTGTTTGATATTGTCTTTACTATCCGTTTGTCGTGTGGCGAGAGACAAATTACTGGTATGTATTGTTTGATATTGTCTTTACTACCCGTTTGTCGTGTTGGCGAGAGACAAATTACTGATATGTATTGTTTGATATTTTCGTTACTACCCATTTGTCGTGTTGGCGAGAGACAGATTACTGGTATGTATTGTTTGATATTTTCGTTACTACCCACTTGTCGTGTGGCGAGAGACAAATTACTCACGATACGTACGTTTTTCGATATAAATCAATAATTAATCACAGGGAAGACATAACAAAAGTGTTTGTAAAAACGTAAAACCAATTTTCCCAACTAATGCACATGAGAAAGGTAAATTCAAGATCGGGATTAAAATTTTGCATCACAATTGAAATGTTTAAATCTCATCTTTCAGTATTTTTTGTAGGGTGTAAAAAAACACTATTATTTAAAGTGAAACTTTTAAAAAAAACAATTATTAATGATTGTGCTAATGAGAGTCAGTTTCCATTAATTAGTTTAAATTGTATCAGATATTATAGGATTGAGTAAGTTGTATTGAAAGATTTTACATATGCAAATCATCACCACAGCTGTTATAATGCCACGGTGGAACGGATTGTATAAAAACTACATTTGACGTTGTCGTTTCATAGGTAGTGTGATGCCCTCAGAAATGGATTTCTTTTTGAAATGATACCAAACATGCTCGCCCTTTCAGCCGTGGGGGCGTTGTAATGTGACGGTCAATCCCACTATTCGTTGGTAAAAGAGTAGCCCAAGAGTTGGCGGTGGGTGGTGATGACTAGCTGCCTTCCCTCTAGTCTTACACTGCTAAATTAGGGACGGCTAGCGCAGATAGCCCTCGTGTAGTTTTGCGCGAAATTAAAAAAACAAACAAACAAACAAACTTTTTGAAATGATATGTAACGGTATTATATAGGGCGAAACATTTATACATTCACAGTACAAAGATGTATTAAAAAGCGGGATTTTACAATTTTCAAGACGTGGATATCTTTCGTACTTAATGGAATTGGCAATCATAGCATTATGTATCAACTTGGGGTAACAACTCGTATCCCGATCATGGTAAGCAAAATAACAGGTGAGAATCCACGAACACACTGGTCAGTGGCAAAAGCTGCCTAACAGTCCTACGCAATAGTACACAACATGATCAAGAAAGATCTCCATTGAAAAGAAGCCGACGGTTTATGGGCTCACCGAGATAAGGCTCCCAATAACACCATCTAGTCAACATTCACATACCTTAACCTGTGAAATGGGCAATCATGCTACTATGTCTACAAACATATTGGTGAAATTGTCAGATCCAGTGCCCATGGATTTCTGTTCAATCACTGTTTAAACAGGCACTAGGAAAACATCGTCCTCATAAAGTTAATGGCTTATGCAATACATGCAAGGAGGAAAGGTGTGCTTTGGACACGACAGCCTTATGACAGAACCTGTTGCAATGGAAACTACGCTGCAGAGCTATCGTAAAGATGCACAGTCGTCAGGTAGAACAGGACTTAATATAGCAACGTGGACTGTAATGACGTATTGATGCTTTTAAATCATTTTGATATACAATAGTCATCCTCTATTTTTACTTCGTTTTCTATTGTTTGGTTTGCTTATTGATTTAGATACTTAAAGAAGTAGATAATGCTTGTCTTACAACCAAAACTCTTGTCATTTATAATTTGAGTTTTAATTTTTAATGTAATTCGTTAATAATTATTAAAGGTATAATGAAGAATTTGTGATAAAATGTGTTTTTTAGGTAATTTGTTCAAGTGTAATTTATGTATATAATATACGCATGATATGATATTTGAATAATTAATTCGAACTTAAATCTTTATTTTTTTGTTCCAGGTTCTTTAACTGCTGTATTTGGTGTTGCTACCCTGGCAACTTCAAGTGAGATATATGATCTTATTTATCACCATAAATGTCTAATGAATATTGTAAAAAAACGTACTGGACGTTTAGCAGTACCATCTTACCATTCATTACAGACTGTTATGTGATAGGTTTATTTATTCAGGAGTGTAATTAGCTTGAGGGTTTGAAGTTGTTAAACTATTGTAGCAGTTTTGTAAAAGGGAATTATGGGAAAAGAGACTGTCAGTAGTTAATTAATTAATGTTTTTTAGTAAATGTGTTTGCTTTGATATAATATATCTATAAACTAAAAATATCTTAATCAATTTGAAAACGTCGTCTTAATGTGGATTTCATAATCAGTCTGATAACACTTCCATCTGGAAAATTTAACCATCAACCTTAGAGTGTTCTCTTACGGTGAGTTTCATAACCAACCTAAAATTGCATATATTTGGCTGCGTTTTCATGATGGATTTAAAAATCGAGATCTTATAATGACGTCACTTAGAATCAACTTTAAATTTTCATACTCATCTTCTGTAAATATAATTATCTTAAGAGGTCACCGGTGACAGTATGTTCTTTGACTTGTGGGCCTGATGATGAAAAGTAGTATATAATCGAAAGCTTGGTTATGAAAAACCTTTCAGGTTATTTAAGTCTCATAATTTATGTTGTTTATTAAAATTAAACCACCTGAGATACCGACCAATATTTCAAACTTACTAAGTATAGTCACCGTATTGTTAATCTTAAATGATTCACCGTATTGTTAATCGTACAATGATTCACCGTATTGTTAATTATACAATGATTTATCGATTTAAATGATTCTGAAGTACTTCTATATTTTGTTTCAAGAAAATAAAATTCCTACGAGATGAGGGCGCCACTATCGATTATTTGGTGCTCATCTGTTTGGTACTATTTGTAAACGATTCATAGGCACAGCCTGTTCTCCATTGTTGAGTGGTTGATTTCTAAGTCGCATGACGATGGTTTCCAAAGTGCATAGGTCACTTTTGATGCAAGCTCGTAAAATAATTCAGAAATGCCGATTGGATGGTTGAACATCAACGTGTGTCCTAGTGAGATACAAAGTTTTTAACTTCCAGTGTTCTTGGTATCTCTGATAGAGCAGTGGAACTACGTAATTAAGTTTGCAAGTTAGACATGCGTGATATTGGAAACTATCACAATAGACTTAGAAAAACAGCATTCGGTAACAGAGAACGGGCTGTAGTCTGAACGTTACACTACATTCGGTATCAGAGAACGGGCTGTAGTGTGAACGTTACACTACATTTGGTAACAGAGAACGGGCTGTAGTCTGAACGTTACACTACATTCGGTAACAGAGAACGGGCTGTAGTCTGAACGTTACACTACATTCGGTAACAGAGAACGGACTGTAGTCTGAACGTTACACTACATTCGGTATCAGAGAACGGGCTTTAGTCTGAACGTTACACTACATTCGGTATCAGAGAACGGGCTGTAGTGTGAACGTTACACTACATTCGGTAACAGAGAACGGGCTGTAGTCTGAACGTTACACTACATTCGGTATCAGAGAACGGGCTGTAGTGTGAACGTAACACTACATTCGGTATCAGAGAACGGGCTGTAGTGTGAACGTTACACTACATTCGGTATCAGAGAACGGGCTGTAGTGTGAACGTTACACTACATTCGGTAACAGAGAACAGGATGTATGTCCCATTAAAGCCACTTCCTGGGAATTAGTCACAGATTCTGTGTCCCATTAAACCCACTTCCTGGGAGTTAGTCACATATTCTGTGTCCCATTAAACCCACTTCCTGGGAGTTAGTCACATATTCTGTGTCCCATTAAACCCACTTCCTGGGAGTTAGTCACATATTCTGTGTCCCATTAAACCCACTTCCTGGGAGTTAGTCACAAATTCTGTGTCCCATTAAACCCACTTCCTGGGAGTTAGTCACAGATTCTGTGTCAGAAACGAGCTGCTACCACAAACACTAGGACTACTGATCTTGTCCACATAATGTGTAAGAGATTTGTTGCCTGGTAAAGGGTTCCTCAACAAAGTAATAACATGTTCACAGCTATGTATGGTTTCAGACTAGTGTACTTCCAAACTTGGGTGTCATCAAGCATGTGTGGCCGTCACACTAATCCATTCTACATTGTATTAGGCCACAGTAACTTCCCAGTGGCTTCTAAGTCTCTTTTTCTGGAAAGCACACATTGAAAGTAAACTTGTTTATTGCACTCTATAGACGGGAGTTAGCTTGAGGCTTGGGCTGACTTGACATTTTATTATATGACCTGTTATTTATAAGTTATATGAACCAATTTATGTTCATGATATCTGGAAGTATATAAATTTAAGAAAAAAGATTTATAATGTTGTTTATTTGAGAGTGTGTATTTTTACTGAAACGTCAGTTTCATGACTCCCACCAATATTTCAAGATAAAAATTAAATAGAGTTTCATAACATTGTATTTGATTGTTACCCTTTCATTGTTGCATCACAATTCTGATTGCCTCAGGTACCAAGGGCAGTTTTATAATGTTTTTGTTAACAGTACTGAGATTTGAACGAGCAACTTAAAAAATCATTTCAATTTCAAACTTTTGTACAGAATCGTCTGATGATAATTAAACGTAAGAAAAGATAAGAGGACCAGAAAACTGTGCAGTGATAACTGTATAACTGAAGGGAAAATAATTTTATCTAAATGTTCAAATAATGATTGTTTTCATTTACAAAGTTTGAAAATCATGTTTGTTAGATCTAAAAATTTTGTAAATAAAATAGAAAAAATTATTATTTGATGGCCCGGCATGGCCAGGTGGTTAGGGCGCTCGACTCTCAATCTGCGGGTCACGTGTTCGAATCCTCGTCACACCAAACATGCTCGCCCTTTCAGCCGTGGGGGCATTATGAAGTGACGGTCAATCCCACTATTCGTTGATAAAAGAGTAACCCAAGAGTTGGCGGTGGGTGGTGATGACTAGCTGCATTCCCTCTAGTCTTACACTACTAAATTAGGGACGGCTAGCGCAGATAACAAAATAACTTTATTCTTTGTGTTTCTATGTTATTTACTAAAAATGTTTTAAATACTGTAAATTATTTTTTCAAACTTACGAATAAAGGTACCTAATGTTTACTTCCAGATTTTTGAAATTAAAGCTATTGATATTTTCATGGTAATTGCATTTTACTCTTAATTATTTGTAAATGGTATTTTACATTTCAATAATCAATATAAAATAATGTTAAAATAATACTTTTATATTTTATTCAGAACATTTTGTAGGATATCTATATTTGATTTTTGTTGTTGATGTCAATATCGAACAAACTATTGAAAATAAACTATGATATGACTCAGAAATATTTTGTATGTTATTTTATCATAGGCAGTTGACCAGAAATCACGAATTCCAAGAACTTGGGTACTAACTAAGTAATTAAATCGTTCTGTCAGAACGTGTACCCAGGACGGCGCCATGTTTTCTAGGATCTTGGTGCAGAACTTAAAACGTGTTCAGTTTTGATAAATATAAATGGAGACAAAACATTTGAGTACAGAATAAATCAAGAATAACAATAATAGATTAAAAACAAACATTGAAAGTTGTTCCCAGTATTACGGATTTTGTAAAAGTTGTGTGTTGGATAACATTAAAATCGTAGACAACATTTATTATATTAATTCATGAATATCACCCAAGACTTGCCGTACACGTGTATATAAGTAACAACCTACGGAGTGTCAGTGGCAAGGTAAGACTCGTGACGCAAAGATTTAATGTTTGATTCCCCGCGGTGGACAGAGTGCAGACATCTCATTGTGTAGCTTTTTGCTAATAACTATGTAACATGACACTAAAAATGGTGTTGGTTTCATGGTTGTCAGGCACCATCTGAAATAAGCTACATAACACATGAGTGTTAGATAAGTACTTATAGCTTAAGTTCATCCAACATATGAAGACTGTAAGTGTTAGATAAGTATTGATGAACTTAAGCTATACAACATATGAAGACTGTAAGTGTTAGATAAGTATTGATGAACTTAAGCTATATAACATATGAAGACTGTAAGTGTTAGATAAGTATTGATGAACTTAAGCTATATAACATATAAGACTGTAAGTGTTAGATAAGTATTGATGAACTTAAGCTATACAACATATGAAGACTGTAAGTGTTATATAGCTTAGGTTCATCAATACTTATCTAACATATGAAGACTGTAAGTGTTAGATAAGTATTGATGAACTTAAGCTATATAACATATAAGACTGTAAGTGTTAGTTAAGTATTGATGAACTTAACATAAACTATACAACATATGAAGATTGTAGTGCTGATGAAACTAATATAAACTATATAACACATGAAGACTGTAGTGTTGATGAAACTAACATAAACTATATAACACATGAAGACTGTAGTGTTGATGAAATTAACATAAACTATATAACACATGAAGACTGTAGTGTTGATGAAACTAACACTATCTAAAATTTTTGACATTAATCGGAAATATTGCCATAATAAAAACAGCATAAAAAGTCCCCTGAACTTGGTTCATGAGAACAGATAGGTGATGCTAAAACGATCACGTGGGATCAAAGAATAGACATTAGTGTACAAGACACCTCGTAACCGGAGAGTTTTTGGAAGGTAGAACTTCATTCGTCAGGGGGTGGTCATTAAAAAAAAAACAGAATGGTAAGATAGTGATAGTCTACCATTATAACCTTATACGTTTTTATTGACGTTTACTTTGTCCCAGAAATGATGTAAACTTTAAAAAAGTTCAAGTCTAAATGATTAGAGGTATAGAGACAGATTTTTGTTTCAAAAAATTTCACGTAAATCTAAACAAATAGCAGACCCTAATTTTGAACTGATATTCTGTAGGGAAGGTAGCTAGTTAACAATACCAACCGCCAATTCCTGAACAACTATTATCTGACCAATACAAAATCTGTCTGTCCCTCTTATAGCGCACCCATTGCCCCAAAGGGCCGTAAATCATAAACCTTGAAATGCATAATCCGAGCAGGTTATCACCAAGGCCACATCTGACCCACAGATTTTTATAGAGAGCAGTAAAACACGAATCCCAGTAACTGTTTTGTTCGGAAACGGATATATTACATTCGCTATCCCGGTCATGGACATAACTTCAGGAATACAGGTAATTACTATTATTCCTAGACCCGGATGACACAAATATGGAGTCACTAAGCAAGAAATGAGGCCGTTTTGATGAAACTTTGATTACTTGGTGAATCGAATGTTAGGAGAAAGAGGGGTTGGGGAGTTATGTTCCGCATAAAACACGGTTTGGTGTTCTCTGGCGGTGATCACGTGACGACGAACTCTGGCTCGTGCTTTATAGATAAGACACGATATGTAACTGTGTTCGTTTGTAGTGAAGGTACGATTTATATTACTTTGATCTTAAAAATAAAACATTTGCGAAAACTAAGAGGAAAAATAATTGTTATTTATTTAATTATTTATTATAATTGATATTTATTCATATCCACGAATGTTCCACACGCAGTGAGAACTTATATATTTTTTTCTCTAAGAGTTACTGTTAGAAGTCTAACAAATTAAACTACAGATTTTTAAGAGTTACTGTTAGAAGTCTAACAAATGAAACTTCAGATTTTTTAAGAGTTACTGTTAGAAGTCTAACAAATGAAACTACAGATTTTTTAAGAGTTACTGTTAGAAGTCTAACAAATTGAACTACATATTTTTAAGAGTTACTGTTAGAAGTCCAACAAATTGAACTACGTTTCCTCTAACAGTTACTGTTAGAAGTCTAACAAATGAAACTACAGATTTTCTCCAAGAGTTACTGTCAGAAGTCTAACAAATGAAACTACAGATTTTCTCCAAGAGTTACTGTCAGAAGTCTAACAAATGAAACAACAGATTTTCTCCAAGAGTTACTGTCAGAAGTCTAACAAATGAAACCACAGATTTTCTTCAAGTTACTGTCAGACGTCTAACAAATGAAACAACAGATTTTCTCCAAGAGTTACTGTCAGAAGTCTAACAAATGAAACCACAGATTTTCTTTAATAAGAGTTATTGTTAGAAGTCTTAACATATTATCATACATTGTATGCACTTTCAGCAATGGGAGCGTTATAATTGTGACAGTCAATACCGCTATTCGGTTAAGAGTAGCCGTGTAGATGGCGGATATTACTGACTGATTGTTTTTTTCTCCATTTGGTCAGAAGTTCTAAATTAGGATAGCCCTGTCTGAATCTTAAGGCCTTGACTTGACCGTTTAGTTCATATGTTGGTGACGTTCAGGTTGAAAATGGCAAATAATACAAACCCAACTTAATTTTAAAATTAAATATAAAAAAGAATCATGTCCTAAAATAATGAATTATTATGTTCTTAGTGCAAGTTAGTGTACATTTTTTGAATTTCATTAAGAATTTTAGACAACAATGGTTAAACAGTGATACCAATATGTTAAAGAAACAAATCATTCCATGAAAATAACACATAAGGCCAACAGATGGGGCTCTCAACTAAACTTTATCAACAACTTTGTTTTCTTTTTTCACTGTGATAAAGCTACAGTTTTGTATTTCGCGCAAAGCGACACGAGGGCTATCTCCGCTAGCCGTCCCTAATTTAGCAGTGAAAGACTAGAGAGAAGGCAGCACCACCAACCGCCAACTCTTCGGCTACTCTCTTACCAACGAACAGTTTAATTGACCGTCACATTATAACGCCCCCACAGCTGAAGGGGCAAGCATGTTTGGTGGGACAGGGATTCGAATCTGCGATCATCAGCTTGCGATATTGGTTATGCCAGGCCAATAAATCTACAGAATGTACCGTAAAGTTACATCTAAATAAAACGTGGATAACTAAACTATTTCTGTCTGCAAGTTGTGCTTGTAATATTCTCGTGGATGTCGATCTTCATTTGGGTTTTCTTTCTGTCATTTAAGGACAACGGAATTTGTAAAACAACTTGCAAGTACTTAACATTTGGAATAAAATATGTTAAGTG